TATGGATCCCGCAAAAACAAAAACACAGGAGATGCAGCATATGATCTTTTAGAACAAATCAATATCATTATCGAAAAGAAGTCCAACCCATTAGCCATTTTTTGCGACTCAACAAGGGCTTTTGACTGTGTTGATCACGGTATTTTATTGAATACATTATATTACTATGGCTTTAGAGGTATTCCGTTCCAGTGGATAAAATCAATCATACTTAGAAAATAGGTCGAAACAAGTGGAAGTACCATTTTCTTCAAGCGGTCAAATCTCAAATGTACGTTCTCGTATAGCCACGCTTACGTGCGGAGTACCTTAAGGTTCAATACTAGGACCGAAACTATTTGTGCTCTGTATAAATGATCTGGTCTCCAACTTTCCATCATCACATTTATTTCTATTTGCGGATGATACCAGCATTTTGAATAGTAGTGCAAATATTGCTCAACTAAAAACAGAAACCCAAGTTAGCCTCTATGATATAGTTGACTGGTTCTGAGCCAATAAGCTTATAATTAACCTAGAAAAGACATTAAATATGACTATACTCCCAAATAAACAAATAAACCCATTAACAAATCATAACTATTGATGGAAACATAATCCCAGTGACGCAAACGAAGTTCTTGGGCTTCACCATCAATGAAAAATTGGATTGAAAATATCACATATCCTATATCAACAACAAACTGGCAAGCGCCGTTTACGCAATTTCCACAATTAGACACAATTAGAATTAATACCGGCACCGCTGCTGCCAAAACAGTTTTCTTTTCGTATTTTTCATAGACTTATTATTACAATATTCTGAACTACGGAGTTGAACTCTGGAAAACTCAGATAACTCAAATCCACATTTATTCTACAAAAAAAGCTATCCGGGCCATGTTTAAATCTCCGCGCACACTTGAAGTTATTTACTCTCAAAAACCTTTATATTTACCGAGTAACAATCGAAGCATTCACAAGAAAACATAATTTCAAAAAACTATCAGATATAAATAGCTATAATACTCGTAATAACAGATTGATTTTGAGACCAATGTTTATCTATGAGGCTAACAAAAAAGGACCATTATATATGACTATAAACATTTTTAATTACCTACCGATATCACCTACAAAAATTGGCTCACTGAATCGCTTCAAGAAACCACTCAAGCAATATTAACTGTCAAACATTCGTTATAACAGAAGAATTTTTTTCAAACAACAGTCAATAGTATTTTCTACTTCAATATTAATGTTCATTTTAAGCAATATCTATTCCATCAAATTTACAAAAGCCAATACCTAAACATTCACTTTTCGTACATATAAATGATCATTTCTGTTAAAGATTATACTTACACTAAATTTGTAAAGTAGGTATGGCCAAATTTCAATTTCAATTTATATATATTATTTGTTTTCTCTCTTGTTACCTCAAATGTTCTTAGGAACTTGCTTTGACTTGTAAAAAAAATATTTTTTTGCACTCACTGTATTGAGAAATAAATCTTTATACCATTTGGGAATCTGTATTAAATGGCAACTTTTTCTTATAATTGGTTATCTTTGTGGGGTAGTTTCTAAATCTGCCAGCAACATTCAAAAATCAACTGAAATATTTCATTCAATGACAAAACTTGAGGAAAACAACATTTTTCTTAGGTAATTGATATAGAGGAATGGAAGGAAGGACCTCCTATCAATGCAGACATTGCTGTCTATACGGACGGCTCCAAAATTGAGGAAGGATCAGGAGCTGGTATTTATGGGGCCAAGCCAAAGACAAGAATCTCACTGAGCTTAGGCAAATACGCGACGGTGTTTCAGGCAGAAATTATTGCAATACATCATTGCGTGAAAGAATTGATAAGGCAAGAGTTTAAAGGCAAAACCATTGCAATCTATTCAGATAGCCAGGCGGCAATCAAAGCAGTCAACTCTATGCAAGTTAACTCAAAACTAGTATGGGACTGCTTAGAAACCCTAAATGCACTGGGCAGTCAGAACAGATTGACTCTAGCATGGGTACCAGCACATACAGGGTACGAGGGCAATGAAGAGGCAGACCCACTTGCCCGAGCAGGAGCAAACAAAGCTCTTAATGGCCCAGAACCCTTCTGTGGTATTGCGAAAGCTATACAAAAGACTTGTATCAAATCATGGATGCAAACTAAATCTCAAGAATGGTGAAACAACTCGCCAGGAATGAGACAGGCAAAAGAGTTTATTAAAAAAACATCGCCAACATTCACAGAATATCTACTAAGCCAGAAACGAAGTTCAACTAGAATACTAGTGGGACTTCTCACAGGGCATTGTAGGCTCAACAAACACATGAGTACGATAGGTCTGACTGAAGAACTGCTGTGCAGGTTCTGTCAAGAAGAGGAAGAAATAGCAGTACACATACATTGCCACTGTGAGGGCTTGTCAAGACTAAGGTTCCTTACGCTGGGTGAGGAAAAACCAGGAGCCCAGAGATACACAGGAGATCTGAAAGCTAGCCTATGGAGTCTCATAGAGAAGGCGGGGCTAGCCGAAGAACTCTAATCCATTTTGAGGGTAGGCACAATAGATCTGAAAAGGTCGCAGTGTGGAGGCAGATAGCCCGAAGGCCCCATTCCAAATCTAATCTAGGTAATTGATAAGAAGTATCACATGTCATAAAATTATTTCTGGGGAAAGGAGCATCCATGATGAGATTTGTAAAAGAAAACATAACAAATGTGACATACTTTTATTATAATTCATTGTTTTTATAGACATGAAAAAAACATCAATAACTTTTGAACCATCAACAATAGGATAACCACATATACGGTTACTTTGATCAGAAATGACCCCCTACCACTTCTTTTGATCCATGACTTATGGGACACCCCATATATTCATTTTTATGAAATTTGCAGGATCGGTTGCATAAAACATTTGACAAACAAAATTATTTAATTTGTTTGTATCCATATCAATGCATGCCACAGCTTATCAAACTTCCATTAGCAAACCAAATCCCATAATAATATATGGAAAAGAATGATAGATGAAACATGGCACTAATTTCAAGCTCATGATTATGCTTGGATTGGCTGGTTTCATATCTTTTAAAAAATGTGTTTAATCAACTTCCATTATTATAAACAACGCAATCACATAAAGCATCAGTAATAGCCACTTGTTTATGTAAAGGAATGATGGAAATTATTGAGTAGATGTGTACTTACTGATTCGCTTTTGTTTCAGAATTTTTTCTCAACCTCTCGAGAACAATATATGGTTTTGGAGATAGATGGTGACATTGCACAATTTTCGATTTTTCGAATTCGAACGAGATAAACCAACTTTTACATATGTTTCGCAAAACTATGTAATTTGCCATTTTATTTTTACTCGTCTCACTCGTTACAGCAGCAATCACCATGTAGCGGAAAAACGTAGATTTAACATTTAACGTCTCGCTCGATGTGACGTAGAGAAATGATAGTAAGCGGTCGAGTGATTTTTCTTAAGTTTTCAATAAGTAAAAATGGCCCAGTACGCGCACCATCTACTTATTTCGATCATTTGTAATGGTATCAAATTGAGTACAAATAATGATGAAGATGAAGTTCTGATCACACATGACATAATTTGAACTTGAATTCTGCCATTTCAATGGTACGTACACAGTATAGTTTCTCAACTCTGTATACAGGGTGTTTCAAATTCCATCCTCACCATTGGGATCTCGGAGACTATAATAATTGATACCTTAATGGGTGAATTGGGGTGAAGTTGCGCATATACGGAACTAACAATATACCATTTCGGAAAAAACCGAAATTTTGAAGAATTGATTTTATTTATTTTCTGCCTTAATTTGTTGTAGAATTTCGAAATTAACTGCACTTTTGCATTGCCATTTTTTCTCTACTACACGATGGTGCTTTCAGATTTGCTTACTGTCGTTTCATCTCCTGTCTACCTTTATAAACTTTTTTATCTGTTTTGAATAGAACTTGTTATTCTTTTTCAATTATCACAAGCTGTCATTCTTTCTGGAAAAAATCGGAGATATTTAAAAAAACAAATTATCATAGAAGGCTTTGAGTTCGATGATTCACTTTCAGTCTGTCACACTTAATGACATCTGGTTATTGTGTATGTAACTTTTTTGACGGAAATGGCTTTCACGAGTGGAAAAAAATGAAAATTTATTACAAATAGGTGAAATATAAACAGTGTTCTGACATCTGAAATGTATTGAACCCACAACTAGAATAAACCTCCAACAAACAACAATAATATACTAAAATGTAAAGGCGAAAGGTGATCACATCAAATGCTCAAAAAGCTGTCCTTGTTAGTTCAAAACATTTCAGATGTCTGAACACTGTTTCTATTGTACTTATTTGTAATGAAATATCATTATATCTCTTTTTTCTCCACTCGTGAAAGCCATTTCCGCCAAAAATACAGTGACATAAGTACAAAATATACGAATGCCATCAAGTGTGACAGATTGAAAGTGAAACATTAATAATTTGTTCATTTAAATATCTCCGATTTTTTCAGAAATAATGACAACTTGTGATACACCATTGAAAAGAGAATAACAATTTCTATTCGAAACAGATAAAATCTAATATGGCGCACATTGAAAGAAATAAAGTTGATGAAATGTCAGTTTATAAATCTGAAAGCAGCATCATGTAATAGAGAAAAAATGACAATGCAAAAGTTCAGTCCATTTTGAAATCCTACAATGAATGAATCCAGAAAAGAATAAAATCAATTTTCCAAAATTATTTTTTTTTCGGATATCTCCAGATATAATTTGAAATACCCGGTATATTGTACTCACCGATAAGTGTCAATGTAATCCAATATTTTTGTTATTATTATTATCCATTCGAAAATGCTGATCAAAGTATAAATCATATTAAAAAAACGTAACTTTGCGATCCTATATAATTTAAAAAAAAATCATATTCACAAATTAATACTGACTATAGAAAAATGTTCTACCCATGTGAATTTCATTTTTGGTTATTCAGGACCTGATAGATTCTATCAAATTTCTGCCGGAACATTTTATTTTGTTCCATGAATTCTCTAGCTGCCTCATCTACTTGTGCCCTCAACATCACCATTTGGCTTTTGCTTCTCGGATACTTCTCATGTCTCAAACAATCACTATAAGAACTCAACCTCGATAAAGATGGTGAAACTGCATCATAGTAATAATCCAATTTGGACAGTTTGTTCCTTTTCTTTGGTCTTTCTTTCTTCTCGACGACAAGTTGATAAATATGTTGTATGAGTGGTCTGGGAATTCTTCCTTCCCTAGGATCGTTTGGTCTTATATATAGTGCCCAGTGGTACTGTGATCTCAGAAGAAGCGCATGGGAATGAAGATAATTCATTAATTTCTGGGGCACGCAGGTCAGTAGTCTGGAAAATAACATACTTTCCAAATGAGCAACTAGTTCTGCTTGTCTTACTAATCTGTCCAACCCTGCACTCTGCTGCAATCCTTGGATGTCGCTTACTGCTAAACCAACAAGGAGATTAGTTAGAATAACTGTCACGAGTAACACAAAACACAGATACATCAGGTGTGCTGTGTAAGGATACCTGATACCATGTTGTTTATCCTCAGGAAAAAATACATCCTCATATTCTAACTCCCCAGACATCATTATTATCACTTTCAAAAGAACCCACTTCAGGTCGTTGAAGGCTGGATAGTTACCGAAAATCACACCAAAACTCAAAGAGAACGCTATGAAGAGGCAGAAATATGCCAACATGAATTTGCCGAAGTTTATTGATACCCTCGTGAACATTTGAATGTATAGGCCAAACATTGGGAAACGTCCTACTATCATCATCAGCTCGACCCAAGCTAAAAAAATTGAAATGGCTGCAACATGGTGTTGCCAGATGAAAACGTCCTTTTGTACATTCATATGGTAAGTAGGCTGGACACAGCAAAAAACGCTCAATACAATCATCAGCTGTAACCAATTCTCCCACTCTTTCACATATATCCACCAGTTGTGTGCTATTTGAAAAAATTCTTTGGCCAACACCAGTATATTGAGAAAAAGCAGCACATAACCAACTGTTTTTACATACTCCGGAACTGAACAGAGTTTTCCTGAACCTTCTGCTTCGCTACAATTTCTCAAATACACCCCGATTATGTAGAAAGTGAAAATGCACACGAACAATGTGTGATAGAGCAAACTAAACAGAAAGAACTTTCTTATCCGCCTCCATTTCAAGAATAAGAATGTAGCAATAAGGGGGTGTTTCAGTACTTCTTTGTGACCAACTTCGATAAAGTTCAATAGCAGCTCAGATTCTTTGTTGCCCATGCTGGGTACTAGCACCCTGAAGTCCAGCTTGAGTTCGCAGTCTACATCCCCAAGTTCATGATCATTCAGCTTAACAGAGTTATCAAACTTCATTACATACTTCGTTATGACATCTGGCGTTTTCCTTGTGATGAAAGTAAGCACCGATATGCCTCCGTTCGTTCTAGCAGTGACATCTCCACCGTTGTTGATGAGCAACATGACACAGTGAGAGTACTCATTGAGAGCCGCCAGATGTAGGGGGGTATATCCAAATATGTCGGGTTGATTCACATTCGGTCTCGCGCACAATAACAACCGTACGCACTCACAAGACCGAGATGCCTTGACGATGGAGCAGTGTAGAGGAGTCCTGCCATCAGAATCTGAAGCATTCACGTCGGCACCTTTGCGCAACAAGAATCCTATGGTTTCCGTGCTTTGCGCAAGTGCTGCTAGATGCAGAGGGGTTTGTCTTTTTTGATTCCTTGAGGATACTTGGGCGCCTGCGTTGATGAGTAAACGCACGCATTCTAGGTCACCATCCTCGGCAGCAAAGTGTAGGGGCGTCATTTTATCTGGACCGCACTGGACGTCCACTGCTGCTCCGTGGTCTAGAAGAAGTTTCATGGTTTCTGAGTTGCCCAGTTCTGCTGCTACATGCAAAGGACTTTCACTGAAGACCTTGAGAAAAAAACAATTTCATGATATGTATATTGTACATACACCTCTTAAATTTTCTGATTATATGTCGCCTTGAGAATATAGCCAGGATACAGAGAGATCAGACTGAGATCAGACTATCTTGCAATACAAGGATCCATTGACTTCACTAAAAACAACATTCATAATAAGTTCATAATAACGAAAGCTACTATTCTTATAGTTGAGTGGCCTTACCAAAATGATGTATAGGGACTAGAAATTACAATATGAGTATGAAGAAACAATTAGCATATCTGACTGCTCAACCTTTGAAAGTTCAATATAGAAACATATTAGGTTGAAGAGGATACCAAAGTCCACAATGGCTAGAGGTATAATTAGTAAATGGTATTCTCCATTCAGCAGAAAACAAACATTTACTAGCAAGGCGACTTGTGAAAGATCAATTAGGAATTGTTGTGGGAATCACCAAATTCCGTGTACTTTGATACCACTAATGATTATTAAAAATCATCGAAGTCCTTTTGCAATTCGATATTTTCGAAGTATTTTCGAGTTACAGTACAGCAATTTTAAACTTTTGGGAGTTAGTTCTTGGAAATATTTATCATACTATTATCATAGAATTCAAAAGCTTCGCCGTTCCATAGACGACCGAGTGAAAATGCCTACAATAGCTAATGCACCTAAGGTGACAGCAGTTTGTAATATGTTCAATATATCATGAAATAACCTGGTATCAATAAACCATGATATACAGAGTGTGATGAAATGATAGAGAACATAGATTTCACACCACACTGTTAATAACTAACCAAACCGATAAATGCCGATAATAGCCTGTAGGGGAGCTTTGAATGAGAGCAGGAATGTGAGTTTTCCACCACTATAATATAACCTACCATTCTGTACTCCTTTTCAATGTAGGGTAGCTTTCATCATTTTTTACACAACTTATTTTCGAGGCGTAAAGTGTATTTTCTCTACCAAGGTAGTTTTCGTCATTTTAGGAACTACTAGTTCATAAAGACATAGCCACCTCTGTTATAATTAACCCGACTTCACTGTTCTAATGCGAGACTCGCAGGAATGGCACTCGAGTCTAGTAGATATTTAGCAATAACGACTTGTCATATGCTGTCATGGTCAAGGCTATTAGATTTTAATCAGAATTTAAAATAAATGCTGGCATTGTCTTTCCTTGTATACGGAAATATTTGAAGGCAATCATGCACATAGGAGTCAAGTCATAATTTTTGTTGATTACTCAACCGAACGAGGAAATATGGAGACTTGGAGACTGTATAGTACCATCCTGCCAGCAATGCTTCGAATGGTGCATGATTTCGAGTGACTTCGGGAATTGGAAGGATTCTGCTGGGGGCCCAATTCTCGAATCTGTAGGAATTCGATCCTATAGGAGAATGATCCAATGCTTTCAGTTCTCATAGGAAATGATACTTTGTCATGACTCCTATTCTTGAACCAGATGAAATCGTTTTTCCCAGGGGATTGAAAAAGTGCCGTATGTCGCAGATAGATCCTTGAACTTGAGTTCACCAATGAAATAAGTGGAATTTATGTTGGTATAGTTTATCCAAAAACAATTGCAGAATCTTGTGCTGCACCTGCAGTCACTTCAAAGGAAACTTCAAACACGCCGACGCCGCACAGTGCGGGATATTCTGCAATTGATATTGGATATACTAAACTGGTGGATGATTGAAATGAAATGTTGACATTTTGATTTTGACTAACTTTGAGGTTATAGTATAATATACTTTTGCGACTGTGAGATTATTGTGTATTGTATATTTACTATATATTTCATCTGATCGAAATGGATATGGATATAGACAATATTAGAAAACCACGTGTGGTGGTAGTATTAGCAAAGAGCAGACAAGACTTTCAATAGAAATAATGGAGGCCTCTGAGGGCTTGAGGCAAGGAACATTTCACCCTCAATTCAATTATAAGGATTCTAAAGTACCTATCAATTTTCTAGTAATGTCTTTGGACAAACGAAACACTTTAATAAATTGTGCAACACTCAATAGCAAGGATTTCAGCCACTTCCAAATTTTGTAAAGCCTCTAGATGATCTATTTTATCTATAATTGCCATGTTTTGCAATACCTATGTTTTTCCGATTTTTCACTAAGGTTCAGTTCCCATTTCATGAGTGTATCCTATGGGAAACATGTTGTTCCCATGGGTATTACCATGGAAAGCAGTTCCCTTGAACTCTGTAGGAATAGTTTCCCTTACAATATTTCAAGAATACATCATCTCAAATTCCCATGGGAAATATCGAGTTTTTCCCATGGGAACGAATTCCAACGGATTCGAGAATCGGGCCCCTGGTTTGTGATGAGAACTTGACCTCCCTGCCGATTGATCGACGGATGACCCGTTAGCTCAATTGGCATAGCGTTGGGCATGTAATCCAGAGGTTGTGAGTTCGACTCTCACACGGGGCGGTGGAGCTTTATCATTTTCCATTATCACTCGAAATTAGGGCTTTCCGTCTTCATCATCATTACTTCTTGTTATTACCAGTGGCGGCTCGTGACTTTCATGACAGAGGAGGCTGAATGATATGAGATTTAATGTGAAAAACAACTCTCTACTCACCCAAATCAATAGCTTTAATGATATTCTGTTTACCAGTTAACCTGAAATTTGATACTTGAAGAGATGTGTTCCTGTGATTTGCAGTGTCTATCCAATCCGCGAGGCAAATTTTTCAAATCATTATATCCACGATACACATACGTGATTATATCCTAATCGCCCCCAACATGATGACTTATCGGTTGAAAATAATACGCAGTACCAACGAAATAGCTTATTCCCCACCTCAGATCCCGTCAACCAGATATATTTTTTAAAATTATCAGAATTGAACGAACGATTTTGTTTGTTACCTGTTACAATCAGATTTTTTAATTCCGGTGTCGGACGTTTGTTTTTCACAATCAATTTATCTTCATAATACAAAGCACTGAATGGGTTCACCAAAAAGTATTCCACTAAATCGCAATCGTTTAAAACACTAATTTTTCAGAAATTCATAGAGCCCCTAACCATTAACCTAACATAAACATAAACAATGCACTCGCGTTTGTCCGCAATTCGCGAAGCGACACGACAAACACGTGCTATTCGGGCGTATTCGGGCAATTGCATTGCGCGCGTTGGTTGCGCAATGTGACGGAGTCTAGCCTCCTATAGATGTTGCCAAGTTGAATATTTTACGCGTGATTTGCAGACTTCAACGTGTGATGCGTGGGCAAGCACTGTTGCCAATTCAAAAATATTTAACTGAAAACAGGAAATAAAATCAATCATGGTTATTACCTGGGGCGTATTAGGAGACGCGTTCTCCTTCAGCAGCTCCCTCACACAGTCCACGATGCTGCTCTGGACAGCGTGGTACAAAGGGCTCTTGCTGGAAGGGCCGCTCAGGCCCGCGTTCACGTCGGCCCCGTGTTTCACGAGCAGCCTGAGGCAGTCGAGGTTGCCCGCTCCCGAGGCGCAGTGGAGGGGGGTGACTTGCCCGCTGCTGTCCCAGCTGTCTACTTTCGCCCCCCGTTCGAGCAGGAGTCTCAGGCAGTCCGTTTTTCCGGCGTATGCGGCCAAATGGACTGCCGTCCTGAAACAGCGCAGATTTTTCAGTGTACACTGTGTCCCATTTTGATTGATTGTCTTTATTACCCCAAGAAACATAGTTGTTTATAATACGGATACATAAACAATATACATAATGTTATACATACAATTATGAAATTATAATAAGATATAACAAGTTAAAAAAAAAGAATGCAAATAATCATGCAATATCAACCTAGTCTTTTATAAGTAGGTATTCAAATAAGAAGTGGAATTATCAAAGTCTCTGAAGCAGATATTTTTTTAAGTTAATTTTGAATCTAGTTGCTTCCTGTATATTCCTCAATTGACTTGGTAATGAGTTGTATAGAACGATTCCTGTGTGAAAAATTGATTGTTTGCCGATATTTGACTTGAACGTATTTGCTATTAGTAAATTTGATTGTCTTGTTCCATGATTATGTAATGAATTGATTTCATTGAAATTTAAATTCAAAATTTTCAATTTATATAGGACAAATTGAATAAAACAACATATTTTAAGTTTATATAGTGATGTCAGATCTAATAAATCTCTAGGTTTGTATAAATTCATGGTTGGTTCGAGAAAATTTAAATTGAAAATACACTTTAATGTTTTATTTTGTAATTTCATTAGTGGACTCAAACGCGAAATATTGGTACTTCCCCATATAGATATTAGGTATTGAAATTTTGAGTAAATAAGAGAGAAATAAATACTCTTCATGTATCTGGTAGAAATTAAATTTCGTATTTTGAATAAAATGCCTGTAATATAGAGACATGTGGTTTTTGCGACCCTGTATCACTTTTTTGTGAAACTTTCAAAGCCACAAACAGAAATATTCCAACTAATTTTGTTCCTGAAATACAGGGCGAAAACGAAAATGTTCACTTTTGGAGATGTTATTATTTCTCAGATATAAGATGGGAAAAAAATTAAAACTGCTTATGATATAAATGGCAACCATCATTCTTAGAATCGTTGCAATTCGTTATCGAACAAAACATTCGAAAATATTTTCGCGGGTACGCCTATTGAATTTTCAGAACTGATGTTTTAAAATTGAGAATAATGACAATTTGGAAATGTCAGTGGTGCGAAGCGTGTCCACATTGTGTAATGAGATGTTCGGGTCACTCTAGGAAAAACAACACAATATTAATTACAGCTGAATAAAAAAATCAATGATTAGAAATTGATCGGCAACCTCTGATCTATTTTTTAATAACAACAAGTGCATGAGTCTCTTAACCATACAAGATCTCGCTTCGATCATAGGGACTGCTAGCAGTAAACGCAAAAACACTTCAACGATGTATTGTTCTCTGAACATTACAGGATATCCCTTTCTGTGGGAACCAGAATATAAAAAAAAAACATTGTGAAGGATACAAAATATTCGCATGCTTCACTCTGTATATTGAGAACTATGTATTCTCGGTCCAAGAAGGTGTAGTTTTCGATAATACAAAGTGTGTCAAACATGTATTATAAAATATTTGAAGAAAATAAATCTTCATTTTCATTCTACGTCTATGGACATGAATCACACATTTAATTTCACCCTTGTTTCTGAAGGTTTCGCACAAATTTATCCAATGAATTGGTATCTATTTTTTCCTACGAAAATGCAGCAAAATAGCAAAACAATTCAAGAGACCAAAATATTGTATTTTCAGTTCGTTATTAAGATATCAAGATGAAGAATTTGAAAAAATCGGTGGCGCACATTTTATTGACAATAATATTCAGTAGGGTGCCCCCGGGACGACACTGGATCTCACAATTGCAATCCAATTATGGTTAAATCAACCCCTCATGATAAAGAATATCATTGTCAAATTTCAAGAGAATCGATGGAAGGATATTTGAAATATTCATAAAAACCCGATTTTTTTCTAAAAAAAAAGTTGAACTCACTGTATCTTGGAAACTATGCATTTCCGGACCCAAGTATATATTGAATAAATTTCATGTTTTCTCATGCAGAATCACCCCCTTGATTTTTTGCGCATAATTTCCGGACACCCTGTTTGTATTTCCATTTTTTATGTTCATAATTATATCTGAGAATATTTCCTTTTCAATAATTTCACCCAATCAAGGGATTCAAACTTGAACGATGGAAACTTATTATAGACCTCAATCGCAGATTCGTGATTACGTTTTCTCAATTCAGAATTTCTTTCCACGTCCTGTATAATGAATATCAATTCATCATACATCCAAAAACTATAAAAGCAGTTGATTTATTACATAACTAAGACTAGGGCTGTGATATCTATGGAGTCTCAAAATAGCATTGGAAGTTTGACCTTCTCGTCGGTTTTGGGTAAATGTACTTATGATTCTGAAGCTTACACCTACCTTCCATTTCCATCGACTGTATTTAAAGAAGCTCTTGCTTCGATGCAACCATACAGTACTTTTAGGTTTCCTAACCATGAGGACAAAAGCAGAGCAGTACCCTTGTTTAATTCCAAAATCGAATTCATGTCTTCTTTGGATATCAGATCGGTAATTTCTTCTGCATCCGGTAAATTCTGTATTCAAAAATAGGAACCATCATAAAATTGTGGGTTTCGGAATAACTTGTGTGTATTTGAAAATAATAATATGAAAATCAAATTTGGATGATAAGAGACAAAAAGACAAATCATTGTATTATTTCTTGATATATCACATTTTTCTTCAACTCTTGGTTTATCTAGAAACGATACTACTTTCGTTTTTCAATAGGGCGTCAAAGTTTAGACTTCAAAACAGCTTTTTTTTTTCAATATTTAATAAGAAAACAATTTCAAATTCAGTACAGTGGTTCAGCTCTATTAGGATCGACCTTAGTATTTCCTATTATCTTGGATTAAGAAGTCTGGACGTACTTAATTCAACTTATATCATTCATTATAAGTAATATCAAGCGTTTGCTAATTAAACAATATCCTTAACCTATTTGATGGAGCATTAGGTAACGAAAACTATATCACTGTCGCAAACTTTTAACTACTAAGAGATATGTTCATTTTTTATTGGTTATCGAAATTCACGATAATTCATAACATGAAAAACGCAGTAAAACGCATAACGCCATATACATAAATGCAACTTATAAATACGTATTTTTATTGTGTGTATTTCAGAGCTCTCCTACTGTGGAATCGCATTCTTATTTCTATTGGTGCCTAGCGGCATAATACGTCATTGAGAGCTAGCGTTTTTGAGAGGTGATAATTTTTATTGATGAAAAATAGTTAGTTAGTTAGTTGGTGTCACTTGTTAACCTCAAGGTTTCATACTTTCATTCCCACGTAAATTTCTGTGAGCACGTTAAATTACTTTCCCTATACCTTTTGGGGCCCAAAAACTCCTGTTACAACATTAAAAAGAAATTTAAACATTCAATTACTAATATCTGCCATAAAATTTCATCCACTTAGCCATGTAGATATTTAATTATATTTTTTTTCTTCTCCATGTAAGTAACTTTGAAGTATTGAATAATTCTGACTTCATATATTATTTTCGCTGAAAATTAGCCTGTATGGGCTCGAAACATGTACGATGATCTGATTGAATAATTTAATCATCATTAAAAATTGTGGAGACGACTTTTATGTCCTGATTCTTGCTGAATAATTATTTGTTTTAATATAGACAGTAAAGTAGTATTTGCGCTCCAAGAGACAAAAAAATGGCCATGATTGGTGTTTACGCGACTCACGGACAATACTTTTCAAATTATCTCTGGGATGATGATAATGACGTATTGAATCTCGAATATATCATAGACTGGAACTAGAATTTGTTCTCATGCCTACTAAATATGTATGAACTGAATTAAAAAAACACGGTGGTTTGAAAATATACCCAATAGAAATAGTTAAAGTCTTCTTGCCATATATTGTGGAATTTTGCTGTTTTTCTCCCCCTCATCTAAACCCGGACCTGAGTCATTATAAGGCTACTGAGCATGTGACTCTTTACGTTTAAGCACTGTACCGCATTTGAAATCAATGTCTTATTAAAATAGTCGAGCTATAGAAAAATTGTTTCAAATTTCAAATATTGACATATGTATCAGTAAACCATAGCCTGTCATTTCTAAGGATCGACCGATACCGACATTTACATCGGCCTATCGGGGATACCGATATTTTTTTATTGGGAAACAAGGAAACATTCAAATTTGAAAAATAAATAAATTAATACACCAAAAATACATCTTCATTGTTAATAAATTGTTCGTAACGTGAAAAAATATCGAAAACTCAAGATGGAGGATCCAATGTGGCGGACGAGTTTATCAATTATGATCAGATTCTTTTCAAAATTTTCATCTGGAGGTTTTTGGGGTCGGAGATTATGACTCTTTCGTCATAATATTGAAATACAAGATGGCGGATCTAATATGGCGGATGAGTTTTGTAATTATGATCCGATTCTATTCAAAATTGGAATCTGGGGGTTCTCGGGGTCAGATATTATAATTCTTTCGTCAAAATTTCGAAATTCAAGATGGCGGATTCAATATGGCGGACTACGTTTGTAATTATGGTCAGATTCTATCAAAATTAGGGAATTCAAAATAGCGGATCTAATATGGCGGACGAGTTTTTCAATTATGATCAGATTTAATTCAAAATTGGTATCTGAAGGTCTTCGGAGCCGGAGATAATGATTCTTTCATCATAATTTGGAGATCTAATAAATTGATCGTAACGTGAAAAAATATCGAAAATTCAAGATGGCCAAAAAAGAGTAGTTCGAAAAAATTACGAGATATAGAGAGAGAAATAAGAAAAAGTAGAAAATAATTAGAATAGTTTGAAAAACTTGAGAATCCCGCTTTTCTGGATAGCCGCAAATTTTGCTTTCGCTCGGCTTCACTAGACGCTCCGCCTGGCAAATGCAAAACTCGCTTGTCAAACAAAGTGTCACTTTTAATCCAAATAAAACAAGCTTCTATTCTTTAATGCAACTACACCTGACCGTGATTACCTTTTGGGCTCACGCAACCGATATTCCTTTGTATTTTCAACTACGCATATCACCTATATTTCAATTTGGAACACAGGCAGCTTGAGTGAAATCGTATCAAAACACTTAATTTGCAAACAAATGATGTAAGTTTACTTCAATTCATGAAGAACCTGGGAGGATTCTTTGATTTATCATTTTTAACATCAAAATATATACAGGGTGGGCAAAATTGGGCGTTTTCACCGTCTATCTCAATAACTAGAGGAGTTATCGAAAAACCGATATACATGTTCCGGGTTCGATTTTGGAGAAACCTCGAATGGTACAATCAAAATTTCGATATCTTCATTCGTTTTAGAGATACAGGGGGAAATTGAAAATTTGCCGATTTCGATTTTATTTTCTGACTACTTTACGGTGAGAGGTATCAAAAAATTCCAAACGTATATTTATACAGTATGATGCGTGGAATCCATTGGCATCATCAGAAATTTTATACAGGGTGACGTTGAGAAAATACGGCAGCCAATTATGTTTTTTCTAATGAAACACCCCGTATATTTTGGCACAGTTGAATAGTCCCAGGCGTTCTCATTACAAATATATATATAACCCTACCTTTTCCTTACACAATTTCAGATATATTCGCAAAAATATATTCAGTGTGTCACATTTCTTATGGTTACACCCCCGTATCTTCTGTAAGAATAATTGATGGAAACATTAACAATCATAATATTTTGTGGCAGAATGCCTGAATATGATACTTTACCCATTATTTCTAGTATGCCTTAATATTTTTGCGTTTGAAGATACGGGGGTGTAACCATAAGAAATGTGACACACTGAATATGTTTTTGATGATATATCTGAAATTGTGGAAGAAAGAGGTAGGGTTATATATATATTTGTATGAGAACGCCTGGGACTATTCAACTGTGCCAAAATATGCGGGGTATTCCATTAGAAAAAATATAATTGGCTGCCGTATCTTTTCAACGTAACCCTGTATAAAATATCTGATGATGCCTATGGATTCCACGCATCATACTGTATAAATATACGTTCGAAATTTTTTGATACCTCTCACCGTAAAGTAGTCAGAAAATAAAATCGAAATCGGCAAATTTTCAATTTCCCCCTGTATCTCTAAAACGAATGAAGATATCGAAATTTTGATTGTGCCATTCGAGGTTTCTCCAAAATCGAACCCGGAACATGTATATCGGTTTTTCGATAACTCCTCTAGTTATTGAGATAGACGGTGAAAACGCCCAATTTTGCCCACCCTGTACATAATGATACCCCACTAGACATATTGGGTGAAATCACGTCCAAAAATCTGTAACTATATCCAGAAATTTCCAAGGCAGTACGAACCACAACGGAAAGAAACGAGCGGCCGATAGGCCGATATATCTTAACTTAAAATATCGGTATCGACCGATTATCGGTATTGGCTAAAATTCTTATATCGGTTCTTAAAGGTTCTTACCATCAGTCCATCCCAAATCGATGTCGTATTCCATATCTCGTGGTTAGGTTTTTCTCTAGTTCTTTGCTCGGTGTCATATTCCGATCCGGTATCTTCCTCGCTCGATATGCTCGAGAAATCTTCCATGGGAATCCCTCCGCTTTCCACGTCATTGGCCCATCTCAGCAGGGGGGCGTCCCCTCCGCTGCCCAAATGAGGGTGTTTCGATGGACCCTCCATTAGCCAAGAGGTTTACACCGGTTTTTTAATTGTCATATAACAACTCCGTGTAAAATTCTGTGAAATGAGTTTGTCAATGTAGACCAGGGTCGATAATTTTTGAAGCAGAAAAAAAATGATAGTAGGATGAAACCCGTTGAGAAAGGACGAGAATATAACAAAAATGAAAGGAAAAACAATTTACGAGCGATCTGAGGTCGGGAAAAAACGGTTTCTTGATTTCCGGCAAAACCACAAGTCCTATGAAGAAATATTTAATGACAAAGTTGTAGGTAATAAAGAGACCTACAACTTTTGTGATAACACGTTTCTCACATAACCTCAAAATTTATGTGAAAAATACAAAAAATCAAGTTTTTGGTTGTTTATTGTGATCTTATACAAAAAAGTTGTAGGTAATGAAGAGACCTACAACTTTTGTGAACACTTTTGTGAACACTTTTGTCACATAACCTCAAAATTCATGTGAAAAATTCAAATAATTAAGTTTTTAATTTTTTTTTAGTTTTCTTATGCAAAAAAAAAATGTTTCAACGAAATTTTGTGAAAACTTACCTCTTTATGTCCTAAAGACACTGTTATATGTTTGATTTGAAATATTCATTTTTTCACCTTATTTTGACTTGATATCGAAAAAACACCCTAATTTTCAATCGAAAATTCTCATGTCAAAATATCAGCTTTTTAAAAAAACTTGGGGCGTTTTTTGTTCGTTGAAATCTCTTCTATCTGATGACTTTAGAAACGTGTGTTGAATAGTCTGTCCCACATTGAGCAGCATAGCTCCACCCTTGTAGGTTCTTGTAAGAATTTTCTCTAATCGTTTTAGTTTTATTTTAAAGTATTTGTAGTAAAACAAATCAGATGAATTGTCCCAAAATGTGACTGCTTTCGAAAATTCCATTCTTAAAAACCTAACAGAGGAATTCAAGCGATAGTGTCAACTTATGTCAAAAAATGCTTGAAAAAGGAGGAACATAGGACTATGGAATCTGCTTCCGTTTTCAACATAAAAATGGAAAATTATTCTTGCAAGTGGTCTTTTCGATTTCACCCTTTGACCCTTCTCAGCGACTGAATTTGACAGATATGTATTTTTCACTGAGAATTTTTCGTAAAATCAAATGGATAGAAAATAGGCTGATTTTCCAAAATATAGAAATTGAGACCTAGTGCTTTTGTTAGGCAAATTAATCATTCCTATTGAATTTTCAAAATTGCTCTAATAAATGTCGATGGAACCGATGATAACAATCGCGCCTTTTCATATGATGGTCTAATCTAAGTCCAAGTATAAGTCATCTACTCGAATCTAACTTTGCTGTTAGCCCAACTTCTAACAATTTTGGAATCTGAACATATGAGAATACTTCAATTATCACTGTCATCTATGATAAAAGTACAGAAACGCAAATTCAAAAATTTTTTGACTCAATCTTTTTCGATATTGTATTGAGGGCGCAATACTTCGGAAAAAATGTAAATTAGTAAATTAAGTCGGCAATTTTTATAATTCAAAAAGATTATTATTCTTTGATACCTAATGAGCGAATTGTAATAAATATTGTTGAAGCATACATTATTTTTTTCTCCAAATGACATTGAAAGTGCCTTTTCAAGACACTTAACAGGCAGAAAAGGTGTACTTTTACTGCTTAGGCAGGAAAAAATTGTTGCTATGCAACGTTCCAAGTAATTTGAATCAAATTGGTAATCAAAATTGACAATGACTTTGGGTGAACAAAAAATTATGGATTATTTGGACTTTGCGTGAAATCGAAAAGAATTTGGAGAAAAAACTATGTTTCACATGGCAGAAAAGAAGATGTAATGCCTTGGCTGGTTTCCTTGCCTCGGCTACGCCTAGGCTATGAAACGCCAGCCGCGGCATTAAATCTTGTACTTTTCTGCCTATAGTAAAACAAATAACTATTATTGTCAATCAATATTGAAATGTCGAAGTCGCAAATGGATGACAATAGACGTAAGGTATGTGTATTGACATTCCAAGCCACGACAAACGGGCTACGCCAATAACAACTATTGAATGAGATGATAATTTAAAACTTTTCTCCACCACTCTAGCGAACAGAATCTACCATTATGCATAATACGTTGAATTTCGCATTTTTTGCAGTTTTCGTCATCGAGTCACTTCCGGTTTCGTTGGAAATAATCGCAAATTTTTATCATTTTACATGCATGTAGCATATTTTCCGATTTCGAATGTGTAAAATGTTGATTTAGTTTTTCAATTGTGTCAAGGTGGAATTCAACCATTTCACAAATATCTCACTTGTGTTCGAATCAAAATTTCAAGCCAAAAATTTAAAAAAAAGAACTACTTTTCTATTTCTTCTTAAAATTTGACATAAAAATACAATGAAACAAGTTTCAAATTCTGTATGTTTTTGTTGTTTTAGATGATATATACCATTAAATTGCTAATGATAAAGTTTTCTTTCTCCTTGTTGAAGCTGTTTTAATACACGACAACCCTCCTTATAGGTTTGTTGAAATCGGTTGAAATTCAAAAATGTATAGCTCTATCGCTTATAATATGGATATTATATTATATGTAGTAGATTCTTTCAAAGTTATTTTTGGTTTCTCAATATATTCGAATACAGTCATTATTCTATCATCTCAAAACCATATCACCATTTCAGAAATTTTTTTTATACTTGCCTCAAACATTTGATTCACCAATTATATTTATAGTTTTTTATATGTGTATATATCTTTGTATTTTCTAACTGTTCCGCACAAACACACCACAGTATAGGTATAAAAGATTTTTAATAATCAAGCTGTTATTCATCTGGGAATAATTTCAGAACTGAGACTTTAGGTAATTCAGATTTCAGCATTAGAATTGGGAAAGGTTATTTTTAAAGATCATGGAAAGTAAATATTTGAAGTTATTGGAAGCATGATTGTGTGGATGTGGGCGAAGGTTGAGATATTATTCGGGTCAGTCTGGTTAATCCAGAATCACACTTCCAAGCAATGATGATCTAAGTAGAAATACTTCCTGACTGATTTGATTGTTATATATTTTGAGAATTCAAAAAGTTCTAATAATATTAAAGAGCTATTCGCCTGAAGGGCAAAATATAAACTTGATTTAACAGGATAATGGTACACACCCGTTTCCCCTTTTGTTAAGAGGTGAATATTAATTATTATGGTAAACAACCCATGGAACCGGAAGTCGTATCAACTTTTGTAGTATAAACCTGCTCAATTTGGGCGCTATACGACCATCAATAGTTACAATAATAATTATCAATTTGATTTTGAGTGAAATATTTGAAAAATGATTGAAAACTAATATATGACACAGTGTATTACGTATTTTTGTGTTGTAAGCGGAGTTGTGAGAAGCATATTGCGCACGAATGCAAAAATTGAGTGCGTATTATGTACTTTTGTTTGAGCCTGAAGTAATAGAAAAATGAAGGCGAATAACATAGTTCATGGTTTGATTTTCAACAACAATAACAAATTAATCTAAGAAAATTGTTCTACCCTTGGCAGTCCCCGAGATTAACCCGTCGAGTTGAGGCCTGCAGAACATCTCTTTCCAAAGACTCGTTCATCCAACAAAAAGCGAGGCTCTGGAACACATTGCCAAGGGATGTGTTCCCCGAGGCATATAACCTCCAGAAATTTAAGAACACCAATTCCTACCGTATTTTCCTTGGTTCTCACGATGTTCTCTGAACATTACAGGATATCCTTTTTCGTGGGAACCAGAACATAAAAAAAATGTCTCGATTCAAATTATTATGCATTACAAATGTATAGTATGCCATGGATAATTGACGGCATTTGAACGAAAGTCAATTTGACACTTCTGTCATTAATTGATGTGTATATTGTGGAACTACTTTTTGATGTTTTGATCATAAGTACGTTCGGAATGTGAAGAAGCATATGATATCATTAGAATTCAAAAAGGATATTATTGTTATTTGTTCTATAATAGTGATAAAGACACTGGTTACTTGGATTGTACAGATTTTATAGGTATATCGACGCCAAAGGTTGCATGCTGAAGCCAATTTATTTACCTCCCACGGGAGTTTAATTTACGTCCTTCCGTGGGAGTAAATTGATAACTTTGTTTCCTCAAATGAGGGACCATTACAATGGAATCATTTGATTTTTCCAATAAATTATTCATTGTTAAAATATTCATAAAAAATTCAATGTTAACGTGATTATTATACTAACACAAAATTTCATTCATCCCAGCGAAAGACTTTATTGACTTGCAAACGTTCTAGTTATCAGAAAATCTTTCTACAATAAAAATAAATAAAAAGCAGATCATACTTCTTACCCAACCGTCAACACAGAGATCCTCCTACTTCTTTGGGCCTCGGGCATACGCTTCTACATGAAGTGCAATAGTGCAATCCATAAACTCTACATTATATTACAAGATAAAACTAAAAAATGGATACTTTCACAAGACAGGACGTTCATTCATGAACTGATCGATTTAAAAAATACATAACTCCAAAGTCCAACCTACAGATATTGTCCTTATTTTATTATATAATAAGGTATATATATTTTTTCATAACCCTAAAAACTTGACTTGTTACTTATATGAATAAAAATATTGTTACGTTAAACTCACTATTAGATCTCATAATCATAATTTTATTATGTTTCTCTTGTTTTTCATACACATACCCGATTTCAAGATATTTTTAATTCGAAAGATGAATGTGAATGAGTGATATATAGTTCCAGCCCCATACAACATATCTCAGATTTTTCTGTGGGCTCCATCTATACAGTCTGTCCAAGATAAGGTTGCACAGCATGGGGATCTCGGAAACGGTAAGAGATACGAAGTCGGTTAAATGGGGAAAAAGTTGCGCATTCGGAGGCTCATACCAACAGCCTTCGAAAATTTTCAAAATTTTTTTTAGTTTTTCAGTTATATCGAAAAAAGTGAATTTTTGGAATCTCTATTTTATTTTTTTTCTACGTTATTATTAGAGATACAGGAAAACTGAAAATACTTTTACATAGCAACTTTTGATGACGTTTAACGTGGTGATACCGATTTTTCTATGCAATGTTTCGTATTCGTAGAACCATCATCAACTTTTGTTTTTTAAATACGGCCCTGATAATTCTTTCACAGATTCTGAAAGCTTTTTTCATTCTGAATTCAACCATGTATTATACAAGGTGGTTTGATTGTTTTTCGAACTATTTTTAGCCATCATCAATGTTTTTTTCGAAATTCCAAAGGAAAAATGCCATCAGTTCCACTTATTTTGAAGGAAAATAAGCCAACAAACTGATACCTCATCAACTAGTTCCGATTGATAGACTTATAGGAATAATTAGTTCGAAAAATTTAATTATGACAAGCTCCTTCGGACTAAAATATGAATACCATTCATAAACAATTCGAAGCGCTGCATTGAATAATTTAGTGGATTTTTTTTCACTTTTCAGTATTGAATAACTAGTCCATCAATGTTTGACACTGAATAATCAGAAATAAGTGAAAGTGATGGCATTTTTCCTTTGGAATTTCGAAAAAAACATTGATGATGGCTAAAAATAGTTCGAAAGACATTCAAACCACCTTGTATAATACAGGGTTGAATTCAGAATAAAAAAAGCTTTCAGAATCTGTGAAAGAATTATCAGGACCGTATTTGAAAAACAAAAGTTGGTGATGGTTCTACGAATACGAAACGTCGCATAGAAAAATCGGTATCACCACGTTAAACGTCATCCAAAGTTGCTATGAAAAAGTATTTTCAGTTTTTCTGTATCTCTAATTATAACGGAGAAAAAAAATAAAATAGATATTCCAAAATTTCACTTTTTTCGATATAACTGGAAAACTTAAAACAATTTTGAAAATTTTCGAAGGCTGTTGGTAATTGGTATGAGCCTGCGAATGCGCAACTTTTTCCCCATTTAACCGACTTCGTATCTCCTACCGTTTCCGAGATCCCCATGCTGTGCAACCTTATCTTGGACAGACTGTATATGTAAAAATGTTTCAAACACCTTTCGAATTATTACTCTACCTAACAGTTGCTGATAATTCTCACAATAATAATAGTTGTTATCAGCTGTTGTGTATCAACTTATGATTATTTATTATTTTATATTTTATAGTCTTTACAAAGTCAATTGAAGCAGCTCAGCAGAAAACATACGCTGAGCGCAGCTTTCAAACGGACCGGCTGCAGGTAGCAGACATTCCTAGCTCGAGGCGCTCCAACTGACTTTGGAAAGACAATAAATATCATTATGATTATGAAAATGCGATTGTGATAACATTTAGTTAGTCCCGAGGTTGGTCGATAGAGTTTTATGAAACATAAAATCTTACATCAGTCCTAGGCGTAGTACTAGTTTTTTTTTATAATTGCACATTTCAAATTTCTTCGATTTTATCACAGTCATTGTATATGCAACATATGTATTTCATTAATTCAATCATGTTTTTTTGTTTCAGTTAGGGTGTGATGGTATGAATTCACAAGTGAGAAAAGCCATGAATGTGAACTACTTATCCTGGAATTACAATCAGATGGGAGTTGTGGCTACTCTGAAGTTGTCTGAGGTATACAATAGTACATATTATTTCATTAGGAATGAAAGTGGGACTATATTTGACAAGTGGATGCAAAGAACGTTATTCTTTTCCAATGTAATAACTGTCAACACGTGCAGTGTATAATCTGTTACCTACCTATCTACCTATCTACCTATCTACCTATCTACCTATCTATCTACCTACCTACCTATCTACCTACCCACCTACCTACGATATTTTTTTTTTATTTTTTTATTTTTATTGAGATTTATTGACATCAAAGTTTTGCACATAACAGATTAGTACAGACATAAAACAGTTGAGTATAATGGAAAAAAATTTTTTTTTTTACATAAATGCACCTAGATGATTGAACATCTGTGTGTGCATGTGGAGTAGTACCTGAGTAAACCAGTTGGTTATGCACAAAGAAAAGTAGTTAAAATAGTAATGAATTTGACAATAAATATGGTTACATTTTCAAAATTACATTAAAATAGGTAGCACTTACTTCCATAAGTACTAACGGTAATAGCGGCACACATATATACAGTACTCTACATATTTACATATTACATATACAGATATGGACTATAGCTAAAGTATATAACGAATCAGAGAAACGATTGCAGCTACTATTATTAAGTAGTGAGTGTAGGTGAGACAATATTCAAAGTATTCTATAGAATTGGGCTAAATTACTGTCCCTATCAAATAGGCGGGACCCTGTATAAGCTCAAAATATATTCCTCTAATTCCTGATCGTTCGTCAGTGAATAAATAATGTTGTGGCCATGACTTAGTGTTTGCTTCTGCTGTATCATATCTAATTGAAGCTGTTACTGATTCAAAAAAGTAAACAACTCAAGAACTCACGGCGCAGGCAGGTCAATGCTGTCAATGAAGATCTTGCTGAAATCACAGCCTGGGGAACGAACAACCTAGTTGAATTCAACGCCACCAAAACTCAAGCCTGCATTTTCTCTAGAAAGGCGGAACTCAGTTTGCCCGATATTGTAATGTCTGGCTCCAAGATCCCCACCAAGCCCACCATATCTATGCTCGGTATTTCCATCAGCAACACTCTTTCATGGGATAATCATGTCAGATCCATCGCAAAAGCTGCTTCACAAAAACTCGGATTCTTGTTCCGTGCGAAAAGCTACTTTACACCTCAACAGCTTCTCATGATCTACAAAGCGCAGATACGGCCTGTTCTAGAATACTGTTCCCACATATGGGGTTCAGCACCAAAACATACGCTGATGCTCTTAGATTCCATCCAGAGAAGAGCCATTCGCCTGGTGGGTGACGCCACACTCACTCACTCTTTGACATCATTGGAACACCGTAGAAAGGTCGGCGACCTTTCACTTTTCTATCGATATTTCCACGGGAAATGTTCTTCGGAAATCTCTGCAATCATCCCTTCACTAGCAATACCAATCAGACGAACTAGACAAGCCCAGTCAGCACATCCTTTCGTTGTCAACCTCGAAAGATGTCGAACAGCAGTTTATCAAGACTCCTTCATCCATAGAACGGCTAGGCTCTGGAATTCATTGCCTGTGGAAGTATTCCCAACAACATATAATCTCCAAAAATTCAAAAAAAATTCCAATACCTACCTCCTATCCCTATCCTCCCTAGGAACGCACGATGTTCTTCGAACATTATAGGGATTCCCTTTCGTGCGCCCCAATCGATAAAAAAAAAAAAAAAGTAAATGAATTTTCATTGAAATTTAACGTTTTGGACACTATCAACTTCACAATAGCCTCGAGTGAGCTCACACTGAAACAATGTAAGTGACACCACCGTAGAGTTTCGTACAAGACGAGGAATAATCGGTGTAAGAAATGTCATCTGTCGTTTTTGTTATTAATGGTTTCTCGTCATTTGTGTGATTAGTTCGCAGTGTTTCAGTAACTCATATATTAGTATTATAAATCTAAAGTACACTTTCGTGAATGAATATGGTTCAGCAATCTCATATCTGTAAAAAAAAAGTTTGTAACTAATAACCTAACCTGCCATTTTTCAGGTACGTTGAAATTTGTTTCGGTGACGTTCTTATTGTTTGAAGGCTTGCGTTTGTTAATGTGAAGCTTGTTTAAAACATAGAAAATATCAAATAACCTTACTGACACCTTACAAAATGACGTATAACTATATTACAAATAGTGAAAGCTAATTTATTAATGCACATTCACAATTCATCAGACATACTCAACATGCATATACTTTTTAATGCTTAGGAATCAATAGCGGAATGTATCTATTGTTGTTCCGTTTGAGATAGTAATCAAATTGAGTGCAATTTTTAGTTGAGTGAAGATCAGGATTACCCATGAAGCCTGAAGGTAGAGTCATCTATAAATTCCTTTAGTGAATAATATGGAGACCATTAGGATTTTGATAGTTCAAGTTTTCAGCGGTCTTGTAGTTAGATAACCAATCAAAAATTCTTGTCATAAGCATTAATTCACTATGTGCGAAAACATACAAACGATGTTTGTTTCTTCATAATATCAGATCATCAGAGAACTGATTTGGGAGATCTCAAAACGAGCCTAAGCCCAGTACCCGTTAACTTGAGTGTTTACAACGAGTCGATCAGTACTTTACAAATTTGAAATGATGTGTGCGGAAACTTCGACTTCTTAGATATCAACCTCATTGTAAGATTTCTCTAAAATCTTTTTTTTTTTCTAGGAAATTCGGAACATCATTGCCTGGCAACGATTTCTTCCTACAGGACCAATTGCGTTATTACCGGTAATCAACTGTAACCATTAATAATCAGCTGAACTAATCACTTACGTTTCAGCTCACAAGTTCTCTCAGCTCTTTAGTTTGGTCGACAACAACACTGCATGCTAAGGAACTATTGAAGATGTCAGAAAATGAATTCGTCGATTCTCTTAATGAAGCCATAGTAAGTATGGATACAAATATTTTTCTAATTTTGACATGTAATATGGCACTATTCAAAACTGACGAAAGTTTTGAAACGTCCTACTTAACGTTACAAAATTTTAAAAACATTCAATTGAAATTACCAATTTTGGAAACATGTTTCTCACCAAAATTAGAAGAAATATTGTACCTATGTAACATGTTAGAAAACTAAACTTAGTGTAACTCTGTGATTTTGCTGGATCGCGATTCGCTTTTCTTGTTACACAGAACAAAACTTTTCCTAACTGGATACCTGAATATATATATATTAAATTTCAACTGAAACAAGGTCCTTTCAACTCAACTTTGTATTTTGTATACCAGGTTTCTCATTCAAGACCGTCCACCCTGAATAACGTTTGAAGGCATGATCGAATGAAAAAACTTTAATTTCTATTTGTAATATGTCATGGCTTCCCCCTCCCCTTGAGAACCACCCATTCAAGAATTTCAAATAGGAACATGGGTTGAGTGATGCATCATTCGAAAGGTATATCCATTCCAATAATAGCCATGTTTTGTTTTTGCATATCGCTTGATTAGATTTTAGAATTTTTCCATTCGAACGTGTCTTCAAATGTTACTTAGGATGGATCGTCCTTGATTAGACACATCCATTATTTAATAAACCAATCGAGCAATATGCACAAACAAAACACGGCTATTATCGGGGTGGAAATACCTTTCAGATGAGGTATCACTCGATCATATGTTCCCAATTCAAATTCCTGAAAGGGTGGTCCTCAAGGGAAGAAGAAGCCATGACAGATGACAAATCAATCTCCAATATGTACTTCTAGAAATTGAAGTTGATATGTTTAAGCATTCATTCAGTCGATCATGTCTTCAAAGGTTGATTAGGATGGATCGTCTTCAATTTGACACATCCATTATTTGATAAACCAGTCAAGCAATATACAAAATCAAAACACGGCTATTATCAGGGTGGAAATACCTTTCGAATGAGGTGTATCCCGACCCATGTTCCCATTTGAAATTCTTGAAAAGTTATTCAGCGTGGATCGTCTTGAATGGGCCACATGATATGAATTATATTCGATAGGTGTCAGAGAACGAACGATTTGTTAACAAATTATTTGTAGATAGAAAGCAGTATATACAGGGTGTCCGGGAACATGTGGGAAATCTCCCGGATATGAAGAAAACACGTGAAAAGAATACTATAAGTTCATATAAACTTCTTTTGTATCGACCTCCTCTTCGGAGATATGGGCTCCCAAAGAGCTCCCATGGAATTAAGTTTTTGACACATAATTCTTGAACCAACAGGTATATTTCAATTTTTTTTTAATATGATGTATACTAGGTAAGACTCTTCAAATTACTATCCAAGAATGTGTTGCGAATTACTCACAGCTCCAGGGACGGACTAGCTGTGACACTCATGGGCCCATTTTTTTTACGCCCTGTATGATAAGAACTCTGGACAACGTTTTTTACATACCTCTAACTATTGACTAAAAATTAAGTACTCTTCATTCATGTCGCTAATCATAACCGTTTTCGAAAAAACGTCATTTTATTTATATCATGTATTTAGCGTAATTTTCCACGGTAACCAACATAGTTTCAATAAAAAGTTGAACTTTAACTGCTTAGTTAAAAACTTCGTAACAGGGTTCAACATGGGCTCCATGAAGTCTGATACACTCGCGAGCACGACGAATTGAGGACTGCTGTACCCGCCACAATAACCCAGCATTGTTCCTTATCACATCACAATGAAACGTGATTCTCCGTAGAAGTTCCTCCCTAGTATCGACCGGAGTGGAATACACCAAGGTTTTGAGGTGTCCCCACAGGTAAAAATCTAATGGCGTTAGGTCGGGAGATCTAGGAGGCCAGGCAATAGGTCCTCCTCTACCTATCCAACGGTTTGGATAGACGTTATTCAGGTGCTCCCGCACAGCAACGCTGAAATGAGGTGGTGCCCCATCATGCATAAAGTACATGTTTCGGCGGGTTTCAAGTGGTAAGTGCTCGACTAAATCATTAAAAGCGTTCTGGAGGAACTCCAAATAAAGTATTCCATTCAATCGTGCCGGCAATACGAATGGTCCAATCAAAAAATTGCCAACGATTCCTGCCCAGACATTAATTGATTGGAACTGATGTTGGCGATGCGAAACAATAGTGGCATGAGGATTTTCATCAGCCCATACATGGGTGTTATGTAAATTCATGATACCATTTTTGGTAAAACCTGCTTCATCCGTGAAGAGAATAGTGCTAATGAAGTTTACATTATTTCGTTGCTGATCCAATAGCCAGTTTGCAAAATGCATTCTACGGGGAAAATCTTCAGGAATCAGTTCATGCACTTTTTGCAAATGATATGGGTATAACAGTTGTTCTTGAAGAACTTCATGTACTATTGTTTTCGACGCATTAAACTGCGCTGATAATTTTCGAGTGCTCGTTGAAGGAGTATCATATACAGCATTTAAAATATTTTCCTCTAATTGCGGCGTACGTACTGTTCTTCCCTGACCAGTATTATTACTTATTTTTCCAAAATTTCCTAAAATTATGAAAGAAGTAAATAACATTACCTTATAATACCTTATTAAGAAGAATCGCCCACCATTCTCCCTTAGACGTTGGTCAACTCGTTGAAATGTCTTCTGATCTGGAAGAGTGCGATTAGGAAATCTGTCGTGATATAACCTTCTGGCTTCCAAAGCATTGGAAGATGCAAGACCATACATCAGATGCATATCTGCATACTCAATAAACGTGTATTCCATATTTCGAATTATTTCACAATTAATTTCACAACGAAATTCAAAAATCAAATATCAAAGTAATAAGGAATCAATGTATCAGTAATGTGAAAGTTGACAAGTTCTAAAATGAAGGATATTTATTTATTTCTAACCTAGCAACGTTTGCAAAGGTAACTCGAAAAAAAAGTATCTTTTATCGAAATACGCTAAATACATGATATAAATAAAATGACGTTTTTCCGAAAACGGTTATGATTAGCGACATGAATGAAGAGTACTTAATTTTTAGTCAATAGTTAGAGGTATGTAAAAAACGTTGTCCAGAGTTCTTATCATACAGGGCGTAAAAAAAATGGGCCCATGAGTGTCACAGCTAGTCCGTCCCTGGAGCTGTGAGTAATTCACAACACTTTCTTGGATAGTAATTTGAAGAGTCTTACCTAGTATACATCATATTAAAAAAAAATTGAAATATACCTGTTGGTTCAAGAATTATGTGTCAAAAACTTAATTCCATGGGAGCTCTTTGGGAGCCCATATCTCCGAAGAGGAGGCCGATACAAAAGAATTTTATATGAACTTATAGTATTCTTTTCACGTGTTTTCTTCATATCCGGGAGATTTTCCACATGTTCCCGGACACCCTGTATAAGTAAAATAAATGATACTTGTGACTTACTGATGAATATCACATGTTGAGTACCACAAGGATTAGTCTTGGGACAAATTTCATTTCAATTCATAATTATTCAATATTGATTCTGGAATTGAAAGAGGACCTGAAATTTTTTGCAAATGATAGACTATTGATGTGTCTATCGAAAGATTTAATTAATATCGAACGTGATAACCCAAGTGATTTGGAAAACATATTATCATCTTGGATGCAAATTCATAAATTAAATCTCAATTAAAACAAATCTTCATGTATGCATATCTCCAAAAGATATTTGGAATAATGCTATTACTTCCGACAATATATTCATCAAATATCTCATTCTATTCAAAATCCAGAATTTAATTCCTTCAAGATACCTGAAGTGTATTAACTTTTGCCTCATTCATTGAAATTTACAATTTTTAATTTCTATTTGGGAAAGTACAAATATTTTACGCCTAAAACCACTGATGAAATTACAAAACAAAGCAATTGAATGAATTTTTCATCTACATTTTCTAGAACTAACTGAACGGTAAATTTATACACATCTAGAACTTCCCAAATTCAATTTTTTTTATATAAACTCAAAATTCTGTTGTTTTTTTCTGTGACGAAAAAAAGTTTGACATCATCATTGATAGGTTACAAAAAGTCACTTTTGCTTGTATTTGAGGTGCATTGTTGATGGCCTTTGTTGTGCTAGTTCCGAAAAATATGCCAACTGCAAGTCCCACATTTAAAATAAGTTTTTTATACTGAATGTCCGTCTACGCCTATGTATAATAAAACAGTACCTACCAATACATTTTACATACTATATGCGTAGACGGACATTCAGTATGAAAACCTCATTTTGAATGTAGGTAAATTAACTGTGATACAAAGTGATACAATCAAACAGTACCGACCATTAACAATTATTTAGACAAATATTCCAATGTTTTTTGAATATTTCATTTCAACTGATCTCTTGCGGATATGGCTTAACTGAATAAAAAAAATAAATCGTTGTATAGAGATTCGAAATACAGTTTCAAAGAGGTGTTACTTGAACCTTGTACAATTTGAAAATTTCAAAGGGTTTGATCTGTAGAATAAAGGGTTGAGAGGTGGTTGAAAATTTGTTTGTGAAATAATAGATTTTCAAAAAAAGTCGACTTGTCCGAGGATTTTCCTAAATATATTTTTAATATACGGATTTTATTCCATCCTAGGTTTCCAATGATGTATTAATATTTGTTAATGGATCCCTCTTATGAACAGCTGTGTTTCTGTGTTCATAGGGGTAATAAAAACAATCAACAATCAATCAATTTAGCAGCATTCAACATCCCGTTATCGAAAACAATTTTCATGATGATAGCGAAAAAATGCATTCATATTTTTTCTATCGATTGTTGAAGTTTCACAAGTGAAACCTGATACACCCTGTCTAGGAAACCGTTGGAGGCAAAATTCAATTCCTGAGCTTGATGATATAATAAATAATGCTGTGTTCTCGAACAATTTCTATTATATTCGTTGTGGTAACAAACTGTGTGGAAAACAACATTTTCAGATTATTCGATCAATCTAGATTGGTACTAATATCATTTTTTTTTGTAGTGGAAAAATTACGGTTCCAATAACATTGTTAATGAAACTACCAAAGCTTTCGACAACCTCTTGAGGATGATGAATTGTCCATCAGACACAATCAGACAGTATCCTCCGAAAGTGGCGAGTTTCGAAGAAGGAAGCAGAGCTGCCTTTCCCTTGGGATTCGGACACGCCACCAGTTACATCGGCAAAGGGGCTGTACTTGTAGGGTGAGTCTACGAGATTTCCGAACGTTCAATAAATTCAACTAAGAAAAAGCCAAAATTCTCAAAGTGAAATGAAATGTTGGATAAATACGAGAAGCCCAAAGTAATTTCCACGAATGTTCATAAATGAAGGCAATTGGTAGATAACGAGAGAAAAACAACTACTTTCCTGGCTAATGCCACACAGAACTTTGAATCACATCCTCCCGAAATCTGTGCATTAATTCGTGTAGACGAATAAAATTGCAAGTGTTTCCTTCCTAAGATAGCCAGGAAAGTAGTTGTTTTTCTCGTTATTTACCAATTTCATTCATTGATGATCTGTGATTTACTCAGAACTTTAAAGACGTTGACATGGCAACACAGTTTCTTAAACACATTTGAGTGCTGTCCTGTCCGGCATGTCAATTGTAGGAACTGGTAAAAGTACTTTTATTGAATCAAGTGAATTCACATTCTATTCAGATTCATCCTCTTATACAAGGTGATTCTAAAATAGGTGGTCAAATTTTGGGAGCATATAGAGTGGGTGAAATGATTACGAAAACCTCTGTAACATTTTTTTCTGAAGTGACCCCCAAGAAAGATACAGCCCCTCAAAGGGGGGCCTCGGAGAATGATTTTGTATTATTATCTCCAACACCTTGTATAATGAAAATCTGAAATTTTGTCTATCCGCTTACTATTCAGTGCCGGTTCGAATGGGGTTAAAATCACCTCAAAATAAAATACAGGGGTGTCTCAAAATAGGGATGTAGGGGGTAAAAATAACCCCAACTTTTTTGTTCATCGCAATTTCAGTTTTTTGACATGAAATTATGAAATCTCAGGGCTATTTACATGAAAAAGGTGATCTTGTTGCATCTCGATAAAATTAACTATTAGCGAATAAAATTTAAAAAAGCTTGCTTTTAACAATATTTTTCATTTTAGTATTTTCAATAAGATCAGACCATAATCACGAAACTCGTCGTCTATTGTTAATTCATCAATTCCGACAATGAATTCAAAATTTCCAAACCCCAAAAACCCTTACAAACCGATTTTGAATCGAATCGAACCATAATCACAAATCTGGTCAGCCACATTGGAGCCACCCTATTTTTTTCTATCAAAAAGTCCATAACGCGTTGTCAACTGTCATCTGCCAGATTCCAAGTTGTTCAGACGATTAGAAGTAGGTGAAAATTCAGTTGCAAGATTTGAACCAGATAATTAAACTCAAGTGCATACCAAAATTGCAATTTAAACGAAATCTTGGAAAAATAAATTTTATTCGCTAATGGTTCAGTTTATCGAGATCCAACAAGAGCTCCTTTTCTATGTTGATAGCCCTGAGATTTCATAATTTCATGTAAAAAAACTGAAATTGTAATGAACAAAAAAGTTGGGGTTATTTTTACCCCCTACCTCCCTGTTTTGACACACCCCTGTATTTAATTTTGAGGTGATTTTAACTTCATTCGAACCGGCACTGAATAGTTAGTGGATAAACAAAATTTTAGATTTTCATCATACAAGGTGTTGGAGATAATAGTACAAAATCATTCTCCGAGGCCCACCTTTGAGGGCCTGTATCTTTCTTGGGGGGCACTTCAGAAAAAAATATTACCGAGGTTTTCGTAATTATTTCACTCACTCTATATACTCCCAAAGTTTGACCACCTATTTTAGAATCACCTTGTATACACTCACCGGCAAAAGAATCCGGCCACCAAAAAATTTTGCCAAATTGTTCGCCATGTAACTTTTTCAATTCTTGTCCGATTTCGGTAAAATTTTAGCCAAATCGTATATACATGTTTCGGAATGTTAGCCTGGATATAAGGTCCTAAGGAAAGCTGTTGGCTTGATCATTATCCAGGGAAAAACAAAAGTCACTCTTTCACCCTTAACTTCTTAACGCCCTGTAGCGAAGGTGAGTGGTTAAACTGAGCTCCATTATATTTTGGATTGAAGTGTGATCCCTTCTCAACACAATGGTTTTCGATTCTCGTCGATAACCACTTTTTAAGAAAAGATACGAGTGTTTTAAGAAAGTATGTTTTTTTTAATTTGGATAATTCAGAACCATTCTCCAACTTTCTGCATTATCATGTTTTGAATTGAAGTAATGAAGTGTGACCCTTTTTCGTCCCTTCTTAACACAATGGTTCGAGATTCAAGTCAATATCTTCTTTTTAAGAGAAGATACAAGTCTTTTAAGAAAGTATGGACTTTTAAAATTTTTATCAACAATAATTTAGAACTTATAGAGCATCTTGGGGATGAACTTCACAGGCTCATTAGCCTCAGTTCAGCCATGTCAGAGACTTGTCAAGAAGTACGATTCGCTCTTCAGGTAGATTTTTAGGCAATTCTTTAGAAATTTGATCAACTCGATGCCACGGCGGTTGAATGCGTCGTTGAATGACTCGTTATTGACTATACAGTTCAGCTTTTTGTTTGTTCCTGTAATTAAGATTTTTTCTGTAAGTGCTAAGAAATTGAGGTAGAAATATGTGATATTAATTTTTTTAAGTTGTTAATCAATAAGTTTATGAAGGTTCTGATTATTGTTAATATGAGTTTTAATGAAATTTGAAAAATGCCATACTTTCCTAAAACACTTGTATCTTCTCTTAAAAATTAGATATTGACGTGATTCAAAAACTATTGTGTTAAGAAAGAATCACACTTTAATCTGAAGCATGATGAAAGCAAGTTCAATCACTCAATTTTGCCACAGGGCGTTGAGAAATAGAGGGTGAAATCGTGACTTTGACTTTTCCCTGTATAAAGATCAAGTCCTCAGCTTTTCACTCAAACTAATATTCAGGCTAACATCATGGAACATAAATCTAAGATGAGATCGAAATTTCACAGGAATCGGCTAAGGATTAAAAAAGTTACAGGGTGAACAATTCTGGCAATTTGTTTGGTGGCCGGTTTTTTTTGCCGGTGAGTGTATTAGGATCATATTTTGAATCTACCCAATGATTATATATAATATTATACAATACAAAATATATAGACAATTTACTGAAGTTACTTTACAAACTATATTACACAGTATTAATGATAGAGATAAATAGATAAAGGACTAAAGGTAAGTACATTCACAAGTGTAAGAAAATCTTGAGAATATACAGAGAAGTGCACAATAAACGGCCAGTGCTGTAACTTCTGAATCATTCGAGATCGGATTTTGAAAATTGGTGGGTAGCTAGTATACCAAACTGTTCATTAATTAACAAACCAATTTTTTTTATATCATTTCCGGTTTTACCGGAAACGACCCTATTCCATAATCGGTTAGGAATTATCATAAAAAATTCAACGATACCGGATTTGATAGGGTTATTTCAAGCGATTACGAAGATATTCGAGTTCTAAGTTTCCATAACCTCAATGGGTGTGACTTCAGAATATCGAAACTTCTTTCTTTGTCCCACTTATTGAGCAAATGGAAACTAAGAACGAGAATATCTTCGTAGTCGTTTGAATTAACCCTATCAAACCCAGTATCATTGAATTCGTCATAAATATCCCTAACCGATGATGGAAGAAAATACAGGGTGTCCCATTGAAAGTAAGGGTCGTTTCTGGTGAGACCGGAAATGATTGAAGAAAAATTGGGTTGTCAATTAATGAGCAATTTGGTATACATACTACCCACCAATTTTCGAAATCCGATCTAGAATGATTCAGAAGATATAGCACTGGCCGTTTTTTGTGCACTTCTCTGTATATGCATAGAATACATTGAAGTAGTTGGACTAGTGCTGTTGAATCATCTGAATATTTTTTTAACTATAATTTTGAACTGTCAACTGTCATTTTGAAATTTTGTTGCACTCCGAATTATTCAAATTTTTGTTTGTATCAGAATTCTTCATTGAAAATGTATGTGAAATGTAGACAAAAGTGAAATCGTAGAGAATGTTTTTGGTAATTTCATATTTCAAAAAACAAAGGACTTCCCCAAGGATCAGTGTTGGGCCCAATTCTGTATCTCTGATACATTCAAAACATTTCAAAAATCAATTTAATAGGAAACCATGCGATATATTCAGTTGACACAGACCTTTTATTTGAAAACAGAAACCCTTTAATTATAGAAAACAACATAAATGAGGATTTAAAGAATTTTACTCCAATCTTCTTTCTCTCAATTCTTATAAGACACAATATATAACTTTTCATCAAAGAAATAAACAATATATTGATTTGAATATCAGAATAAGAAATAAAAGATTGAAACAAACTGCCTATACCAAATACCTTGGTATTTGGATTGATGAAAAGTTAACATGGGACAAGCATATTGGCATGCTCAAAGAAAAAATGTCTCTCATAGTTGGTTCCCTGAGAAGATGTCCAAAACTTAGCCCAAATATAGCAAATTATATACTCTCATATCCTTAGTAAAATGAACTATCTCATAAACATTTGGGATTCAAGTTCGAAGGATAATTTCAACAAAATATCTGTACTATATAAGGAAGCATTGAAAGTACTGTATCGTCTTCCATGTGACACACCATCGAATCAAGATTATGAAGAAACAAATACATTTTCTTTGGAAGAACACCATCTCAAATTTTCTTATGATATTATCAACATACACCTTAAATCTAACTTCGTTTTGGTAATCTCATACCATATTATTACCATTAACCTGAGGAATCGAAAACTGTGATACCTCAACGATTCGAAGAGTTTTTATTTTCTATGTCAGATGCAAACTTCTTATTCACGAAGGTTAGTAAGCAAGCCATTCATGTATCCTAACCTAACCTGGCCACATCTACAACCAATATACGTGTCTCGTTGGTTGCATGTAGTTGCATAGTATTATGTATATGATCTTGTTGAAGAGAGAAATTATGAGTTCGTAGAAAAAGTCTAGTATGTAA